TTTGGGGTGCTCACTCGAGAGACAGGGACACGCACGAATCCCGTGTGCAGCAGCCCGCCTCCGCCCTGCATAAACAAAACTCTGCCCGGCATGATCCCTACACAAGTCACATCCATACTTCCTCCCCAACACTCCATATCAGAGGCATAGCGAGGGTGTTATGCGCGGGGGAAGGTAACATTCATTACTATGTATCTTATTTATTTCTAAGTCAGCAAAATATTATGTAAGTTATAAAAAACAAATACTACTAATATCCACTGATACTGGGATCAGTTAGTAGATCATAACTACAGAGAAATATAAATGATAGTATTTTTTTGGTTGACATGTTAAATATTTTTTCTCTTTAATTTGTTGGTATCCTGCTTTCATTAGGCTCATGTCTTTTACATAAAAATGTCAAATGCTTAAAATATTTGTAAGCATTAAAATAGCATTTAATGCTTAATGTTTTATAAAACACAAGAGAAATAAATGTTACACAACCTAAATATGAATTCATCACTATATGTTAATCAAGCATTTAAAACCACTGTTACAGCAAAAGAATAACTTGTTGCTTTAATGAATAAAAGGTAAAAAGATTGAGTGTATCAAATTTATAGTAAGCAATCTGTAATGCTTCCTAACTGCCTAGTTAACCTAGTTCTTTTTCATACTATCGCACAGCAAGAAACTACATAATAGTTATGAATGTAAGAGATTAACTTACCTGTTAAAATAATAGTCAGAAAAACGTTGAAATAAAACTAACACACAACACGAGAATCACCCTCACTTTCTGGAAGGCATTTGAAGCAATAAGTAGTCTAAGGCTAAGGTTACACTGCAAGTGTGGCCTTCTAGCTAAGGTTACACTGCAAGTGTGGCCTTTTATCTTCCATGAGGACTTTTTCCTGTTTCCTTCAGGCTGCGGTGAGATTCTATCCTTAAGCAAAGGAGAGAGGTCTCTCTGAGCTGCTCTTCCAAATTTCACACAAACCATTCAACTGAAGCCATAGATATCAAGATTCAAGGCCAGCTTTGCCTTTGGCAGACTGCCTCACCAGGTGTTCACAATCACATCAGAACATGTATAAGACTTTTAGTTGAGAAAGCCATGTTAATTCCAAGTCTCTGCTGTGAGGAGGAGATGTGGGTGACCTATAGAAAACACCAGCATTTTCTGTGGAAAATCCGCAACAAAACGGGGAATCGATCACCTCAATAATGCCAACTTCTTTAGAATTGAGGCCCTGATTATCCAGCACCGGCTGGGGTAGAGCGGGCACTGTGTACACGTCTGATATATTTTTACCAAAACTGCTGCCTGCCCAACTCGCCAAAGGAAACAGGGAGGCCAAAAGGAATGGTTTAGAGAAGTGTTTCTTTACCTTTTCTATAAAGTACCCCTTTTAAAAAAATTATAAGTACCCCAATGCACCCATCCCTCCCCTGGAGTCAAGCATGCCCAGTCGTCCCCCACTACAACCCAATGCCCCTCCCCCAGAGTCAGGCCCCCCAGTGCACCCACCCCTCTCCCAGAACCAGGCACTCCCAGTCCCTCGGCTCTAACCCAGTGCCCCTCCCCCAGAGCCAGGCACTGGACATACGGTAACCCTACCTTTGAAGTGCCTCTGCGGCTTGACTTCAGGGAGTACGTGGCCTGCCAGCACCAGGCTCACTGCGACGTGTGGGGCTGTTTGCTCCCACCCAGCCCAGTGCTCTCAAACATGGTACCCCGGGGGCAACTGCACTCCCCTCACTATGCCTCTGTCCTATATGAAGTTCCAGTCCACTGTAGCACCCTATATTTTTCAGTGACATTTTAGACCTACTCGGAGTCAGATATTTTTCTTTCTTCCTTAGAAGAATGCCACCAATAATTATACTACATTATTTTAGAATTGTGTACTCTCAGGAAAGTACTGTCTCCATTTATATATTTATTTCAATGAACCCTTTTAATGCCTTAAAATTTCAGTTTCAATATTTATCCTAAAGTCAATTTACCCTAAAGTCATGTTAGTTTAGAAAAGAAAAGACTGGGAGAGGTTATGATAGCAATTTTCAAGTACCTGAAAGGGTTTTATAAGGAGGAAGGAGAAAAATTGTTCTCCTTGACCTCTGATGATTGGACAAGAAGCAATGGGCTTAAATTGCAGCAAGGGAGATTTAGGTTGGATATTAGAAAAAACTCCTAACTGTCAGGGTAGTTAAACACTGGAATAAATTGCCTATGGTGGCTGTGGAATCTCCATCAATGGAGATATTTAAGAGCAGGTTAGATAGGCATCTATCAGGGATGGTACTTGGTCCTGCCATGAGGGCAGGGAACTGATCTTGATGACCTTATAAGGTCCTTTCCAGTTCTAATATTATATGATTCTGTAACTTATACAACCTTCATAAGTCACATCTGGTGACATGTAGTGAGACCTCAGTCCCACAAAGCACTTTAGCTGGTGGTAAACTTTTAGTATGTAAATAGTATCTTTGATTTCAGTGGAACTATTAGCATGATTGACTTCATGTGCTGAACTGCATTGCTGGCTTGGCGTCTGATGGAGACAGGGTGGTGTCTGAGGCTATGCCTATGCTGCACAGTTATTCTGGAATAAGTTATGCGCGCCTGGGAGACAGCTCAGTCGGGGCTGACCTCCGGAACGGAAGGAGCTCCTGCCCGAGCACGGGAGCAATCACTGCCACCGGAACCGCAGGTCCAGCCAACGCTGCAGCTACAGTCACCATACCAGTCTCTGCTGCCCTGCTGCCCATGGCTTGCAGCCACCCTAGCTGCTGTCACCGCACAAGCTGCTGCCGTGCCAACGGCCACCACCAACCCCGACACCACTGTTGCACAGATGCTGGACCAGCCACTGCTTTCATGCCTGCTAACTCTGCTTCCGCAGTAAGACCTGCATATACGGGTGGGGCCTACACTGGCCAGGGAGACTGGTTAGGAAGCAGCCCAGGACAGGGAGCAGGAAGAACCCTGGCGGGCTCGGGGCATTTCAGGGAGAACTCTCTGCGGAACCAGTGGTGAGAACCACCCACTACTGATAGGGCCCAGGGTTGGGGCCTGGTGGAGATGGAGGGCCCAGGCCCCCCTACCCCTTTTTCCCAGCTCCCGGACTAGGAGCGGATCCTGAGAGACTTGGCCTCAGGGCCTGTTTGTGAGAGACTTGGCCTCAGGGCCTGATTGTGAGAGTCTAGGCCTCAGGGCCGGACTGTAAGAGGCTAGGATTCGGGGCCTGATGGCAAATGACCCCGTTGGGAGGGATTGCAGGGCTAGACACCCTGCCACAATTCTGTGCACTTATTATGATGTCTATCTGGTTGTGCTGTACACCGTACATTGGTAAGTAATGTTTAACCTACAAATATTAAGTAAGACTTATTGCATAAAAGTATCATAACAATCTGGCATGACTTCTTAGGATATCTTGGCACAAAGGTCTGAATTTGATGTCAGATACACAACCACACAGACTCCCCAAATACCATAACTGATGCTGATACCTGACCACACTCATTTAGGTTAATGGTTTAGTTATACAGGTAAAAACAGAGGTCTTATTATTGGATGGTAGTGAGTGATTATGTTATCCATTGAATTTGCTGTTAGCAGGGTATAACAAAACTTGTCCCTCCAGATAAGCTTCCTTGATGATGATAAGGAGACCAGAGTGACTGAAGTTAACACACTGAAACCTAGTCTCTGCATTTTCCTCTCCACCTTCTCCTTGATGAGGGGTGAAGGAGCCCAGTTTAAGCTCCATTAATTTTACAATGTTGTAAGTTGCACGGTAGTATTCTAACCACTGTGTACTCAATTGCCAGGAATAGTACTATCTCCACAAATGTGTCATCATACCATATTTCAGGTGCCCACTTGGGGCCCTTTTTAATGCTAGCAGGCAATAGGTATGTTTTAAAATATCAGTTAGCAGCATGCACACCTTTGAAACATGCTGATTAATCATAGTCAGTCCAAAGTCCCCAGTTGCTAGTAGACAAGACCTGAAATGAGAATTTATAGCTATTTGCAACAGCACAATATCATTTGTTACCCATAAAACATCCAGATATACACAAAGTACAATATACTCTTGCATCAGAAAGTTTGAACTGTTTACAACATTACACAGTAAATGCCTCAGGGTACCTCTACACAGCAATATTATTTTGAAATAACTAGCATTATTTCAAAAGATCATAGCCCATGTCTACACAGCAGGTAGTTATTTCAAAATAATGTTAAAATACTGTCAAGCAAGAGGACTTCTTACTCTGACTCCTGTAACCCTCATCAGACCGGTCAGTTTAACGTCTGTCCCAGGGAAGATAATGGAGCAGGTAATCAAGGAAAGCATATGCAAACACTTGGAAGGTAATAAAGTGATAGGGAATAGCCAGCATGGGTTTGTGAAGAACAAGTCATGCCAAACTAATCTGATAGCTTTCTTTGATAGGATAACGAGCCTTGTGGATAAGGGAGAAGCGGTGGATGTCATATACCTAGACTTTAGTAAGGCATTTGATACGGTCTCGCATGATATTCTTATTGATAAACTAGGCAAATATAACTTAGATAGGGCCACGATAAGGTGGGTGCATAATTGGCTGGATAACCATAGTCAGAGAGTTGTTGTTAACCTCTAAAAATTTGAAATGTAGGTCAGACCCCTTTGGAAATCTTAGATGTACTCTGTGGACCCCCATGTTGTCCACAGATCACAGTTGAAAAATCACTGTTCTATGGCAACAATGACCTTTTACAGACCCTCATGGACATAGTCTGTGGACGACATGGGTCCACAGGCCTGAAATTGAAAAACACTGGCCTGCACCATTAATGACCCAAGGGAGCCTTATTCTTGAACCTCATTGAAATTTCTTTACATAGTTAAAGAATCTATACTATAAATATTACTGCATCAGAAATAATTTCTGGTAAGTCTTTAAAGTCATTGAGCCAAATTGACTTTAGATACTTGCACACAGCACACTGAATTCAGTGAGAGTTGTACTTGTTAATGTGAAAGCAGGATTTGGACTTTCCTCTTGCGGTATCTATGAGACAATGTATGTGTGCCTGTATCTATAGTGTAGACGCTAAATTCCTTGTATCTTTGTAAAGTAGCCACACTATAAAGCCCTGTATAGACAAAGTGAAAACTGTAGTAGGATACTATGAAGCAACTCCATGGAATATTTGCAATTTCGTAAAAGAAAGGATTTAATGTTCTCCCTTCATTGCTGTACTTTGTAAATTAAATAATCTGGTAATATAAAAATGTATATAGGTACTAGTTCTAGTTATATCTGAGACTAAAAAGCCATTGAAAGTTGTGTTGTGAATGTAATACTATAACCATTTTGAAAGTCTCAGAGAGGTAGCCATGTTAATCTGTAACTAACAAAATTTTAAAAACAACGCAGTCCTAATTTAGCTATCTTCCTCTCTTACAAGTGACCTCAGTCCTCCTTGTCCCTCCCCTTTTCCCCATGTGGCTAGAGTGCTAGAGGAGTGAGGGGTCTCAGTTGGGTGCCATATCAGTGAAGGTTGGGGGTTTTTGCTTCTCACTTGTGTGGTCCCTGACTAATTATTTTGTGGGTCAGTGGCCGCCGATCCAAAAAAGATTCCCCATCCCTGCCATAAATAAAGAAAACATTGAAACCTTTTGTGTTGGACATAAATTAATATTTTACTTTATTTAAAATGAAGTTTGATAAACTAACATGAGACAGTTAAAGCACTTAATCTATTTAATAATTTAATATTTCCTTTTTTACTGGTTAAATTAAACCATTCTCTCTAGCTGCAGCATTAGCAAAATAGTTGGGGAGTAACTATGTAATTAACGGTGAGTTTCCCTTAGCAACTGGTGGTCCATGGAAAAGTTTGCATTGAGTCAGGTGGGCCATGGGCCAAAACATTTGAAAACCGCTGTTGTAAGCCTTTGAAAAATCTGTTTTCATGTGCTTATTAGAGACTTGTTGGAATGTGGCAGCTAAATAATTTGAAGATTCCACCTGCTCAAAACATGCTTGATCCCTAGGCTTTAGAAGCTGAGCAGGGCTTTCCCCTGGGGTTCCTTTCTAGGCCTGACACAAAGTAGTAATTATATAGGATTTATTTTATGGTTTTGTTTTATGGATAGGATAAGCAAGCAGAGTGGGTCAAAGAGTCTGGGGAAATACTGGGACTGTGAGTAGAAATGGAGGAAGAGTGGTATTCTGATGCGGAGCCCTGAGGGCAGATGAGGATTGCCTGGACAAAGAGGAATTGAGCTGAGAAGCAAGGGTGGGAGGAAAAACTGGGATAAGAGAAAAGAACAGGTTGGGAGAGATGAGGCAGAAAGAATCAGTTTTGGGGGGAATAAGCTGAAAGATCTGTGCCTATAAAAGCATACTGTGCTCCACAAGGTAGAATGGAACCCAGAATTGTAAAGTCTTAGCATTCTTTTGCTATCTGCAAATAGCTCTGAAACTCATAAGCAAAGTATGTTTCTTATTGTTCTTCAATGCTGATCCATGTAGAAGGTGACTACCTATTCCTAGCAATCAGTTACTCAGAGATCTGTGCAGTGGATCTACTGGTTCCAACACTGTTCATGAAAAAAATGAGTGTCAATAAGATTCCATCTAATCTGCCTTTTTTTGTATTTCAAAACACCTAGGAAATCTCTGTCTCTGTCACAAATTCCAAGCAGCATCGTAGTGATACTGTTCCTCCTGGTTAGAAATGTTTATTTCCTCTCCCCCTCTCCTCAGTTCAAATTGTGATAAGTTTGTGTATGACCCTCTTCATGGGCCTGCAAGTCAACACAGACTTCTGTCTACTGACATGTCTCTGGTGTCTATAGGCCTTCTTTTGTTGGATAGGAGATGACAACTTGTTGTGGAAAACCTGTATTTCATACCTGGTAATATTTCTTTCCTGATTGTGAGGGTTTCCAGTTTCATAGCAAATGCTTTCATGGTTACAAAGTAATTACCTTATAGATTACCTTATAACATTGGATACAGATATTATAAGTGATATTAATGCATGTAGCAACTCTCAAGCATTAAACTAAACATATCTCTAAAGTCTAATACCTGTTTTATGCATGCTAACACACAGGTGAGCCAGAGTGGTGTTCAGCTATGCCTTTATCAGTGTTCAGTGAAGCCTATGAGCTTTGACATGAGCTGGCACCTCATAATCACCCCCTCATTGCAAGAATATTGTGAGAATACATTCATTAATGTTTGTAAACTAGCCACAATATGCCATTGAACCTCATAGAAGCACTCATGGGAAAATTAATTCTGTATTTGGGGCAGGGTTTGAATAGTATGCAGTAAGTAAGGCCTGGGGCTACATATTGAACAATGAGGATAAAACAAAATATTGAACAACACTATCCATCTTATACTAATGAAGCAGGATCTGAATGATGGGAGACTGTGGAAAAACATTCTTTTAACATGTTAATGTGTGTCTTCTTAAATACTGCAGACTAAGAAACACTCCGCTATCTCTAAAGCACTTAAGAAAATATTGTCTTTCCGTCCTCCCACGAAGACTTTCAGGAAGGACTTTCAGGCTACACTTCATATTGCAACATAGCTCCTAAACAGCCAGCAGCAGCATCTGAAACTCTGAACTCTCTAACTCTTGTAAATCTTTTAAATACTAGCATAAAGAAACAGCAAAGGGGATTTAGTTTATTTTTCTCTTTCACTGATGGTGCTGAGAATGAACACTGAACAAGACGGGGGGCTGGGAAAGCATACACTTCCTTTACATGCATTTTGATTAAAGCAAAATATTAAGTGCTTCATCACAAAGATTTTGGCACTTCAAGCACAGTATTAATGACACATTCTAGAGAATATCAGTACCTTCTTCAAACGTCAACCTATGACCAAAATTTCAGATGCTCCACATTTGATTCACTCCATAAGCAAGGGTCCCCACCACACCACTTATGTGCCTTTCTGTTTTAATTTCTTATTTCCCCCCTATATTTCTCCTCCTGACTGATTAGATTTATTCCAGTTAAATCTGGAACTAGTAATGCTGAAAGTCTCCCTTCCTTTATTATGTGACTCTATAAAATATTGTATTTTTTTTTAAATAGCAACTACTCAGTTATGTCTTTCCTCCAGCCCAGAGTGTGGGCACATTGCTCTTTTGCAATTTGTACATGGCTCCTTATGTGGCAATGTCTACGTTTTAAGCAAGAATGAGCATCACACAACTGTAACGTGTGACCAGGCATATGCCAGCATATAGAAAACCCAAGACCAGGACTAAGGTTAGATATCAGTTTTTCTAGATGATGTTTTATTAGGAAATTGTAGTCAACGGTTATGGGAACTGTTGCAGAAATTGGGAAGTGGGTTAGAAACAACAACCACAAAACTGTAGATCTGAATAGTAGAGACATAGAGTGGAAAGGTGGAAATTTTCCTGTAATTTATGTCAACTTTTACTGCTTACAATGTCCTTGCTGTAATATTATTATTCAGTAGATATTCTACCTAAAGAGCTTTTATCAACATATATTTCAGTGTTTTATTTGATAATTTATATAACACAGGATTAAATTCTGGCCTCTGTTGAGAGTCATGCACCTTGGAAGATGAATAGGAGCCAGAGAATATACTGAATTTTCAGAAGCAACCCCTTATTTTGCATGTCACCTTCTGGGTGCCAAGCTGAGTCATCTAGGCCAGATCCACAAAGGTATTTTGGCTCCTAATGTCATAATGCTTTAAATGTCCAGAGCTATGATGTTTCAGAAGGTTACATTTATTAAACTAGAACAGATTTTTCTATTCTGTCTGCAATTGTCTATATATTACAAGGGTTATAGGAGGCAGGAAAGAGAATGAAATATGAGGTATTAGGCTGCTAAAGACTTCTGAGGATGTGGGCCTTAAATCCTTATTTTTCAGAGATGCCAAGACTTGGAGTCACCAGGGTTACTTTTGAGAAGTTTGGCCCTAATCTTTATCTGGTATAAACGGCCCGGCAGGCAGCCGGGAGAGCAGGGGAGAGCGGGCCGGGGAAGAAACCCCGCAGGGGGAGGGGCGGCTAAACCCCCGGCAGGGAAGGAGGGGTCAGGGACAACCCCCCGAGGGGGGCGAGGAGTCCGCCCGGCGTTCCGCCCGGCCAGAGCCGCACGTCGTTGAAAAGCGGCCCGGCGGAGCAGGAAAAGGCGGCACTCGGGAGAGCTGCCGCCACCACCGCCGACCTAGCCGCCGAGGGGGAACCCCCCCACGCTGGAGGAGAAGAGGGAGCGACCCTGAACCCTCACGACGGCCGCAGGACGAGACCGGCGCCTCGGGCGGGGTAAGTGACTGCGGGACTTTCCCCGTCGGGGAGGAGGGGGGCGGAGAGTGGAAGCAGCCTGGGGCGGGGGCCTTTTGGCGCCCGTGGACAGGCGCGTTACGGGGATAAACCCCGCCTGTCGTGGGAGGAACGTACGCTTCGTTCCCCCCCACTTAGGGCCCCGGGCTGGGACCCGGTGGAGAGGGCGGGCCCGGGCCCCCCACATCCCCCCTCCCTACCACGACAACCCCAACCCAACGAACCCCGCTGGGGTGACTAGATAAAAGGGCAAGGATCCTGTCACTTTGACTGGCCGGATGGGGACCCGACTTAGGGGCCGACCGCCGGAGGCGACCCCGTCCCCCTCGCCGGGACCCCGGGCTTACTGGTCCCTGGGACAGCCCCGAAAAAGACGAACCCCGAGTTCGCTGATCCCCGGTCCGGACTCGCAGCCGGGTGATCGCACTCAAACGACCAGACGGCGGGTCCGCTGAACCCCCCTTCCTCCGCCGGAAGGGGGAGCTCGCACCCACACAGGCCGTCACAATTAGGCTGCTAAAGACTTCTGAGGATGTGGGCCTTAAATCCTTATTTTTCAGAGATGCCAAGACTTGGAGTCACCAGGGTTACTTTTGAGAAGTTTGGCCCTAATCTTTATCTGGTATAAACTAGCACAGCTAGGGTTGAATGCCAAAATTTTGAGCATTATTAAAGTAGTGGGCTTTTCTAGTATATTTTTTCTCTCTTTTGTCTTTTAGTTCATTCTTCCTGTAGGACGAGACAACCCATTACCTCAAAACTATTGCCTTCCCTGCTCAGTCTCCTATAACCCCTTTACTAAAGGGATTGTTGCAATCCAAATAGAAAAAATCTGTTAACTAGTTTAATAAATGTAACATTTCGAGTCTTTCATAGCTGTTGACATTTAGATCGTTATACCAAAATGTGTTTTGAAAATATACTTAGTGTGGTTGTTGTACATCTCAGTTCATTGTGTTGTTTTTTTTAAAAAATTGCTTGTATTAATGCATTGATTTACCTGCTATCTAGCAGTGAATTAAAGCTCACTGTGTAGCATATCTAGTCCAACCAAAGGACTCTATGCTACAAATCAAGGCACATCTGGCTCCCTGTCCTGCCAGCACTGCCTCTTGTTTCAAAAGTCATGTTTAAGTTCTGCCAACATAAGTGGTAACGTAAGTGACTCAGGAGTGTGAAAAAACATTCCCCGAGTGACGTAAATTTAGCTGGCAGAAGCGGTAGTATGAACAGTGCTATGTTGGTAGGAGAATTTCTAATTATGACAACTGGAGAGCTCTCTCCTATCGTCATCAAGCTGCTATGTGACAGATCTTACAGTGGTAGAGCTGCATTTGTAGCAGTGCTGCTCTAAAGTCTCTAGTGTAGACATAGCTGAGTCTCTTGTGGACTGTGGGATGAGGTTTATCGGGGAGGTCGACAAATGCCTTTGATGTCGACCGCAGAGCGTCCGGACTACAGTGCTGTGCCACCAAACAGCTGATTGGCACAACACGTCAGCCATTTTAATTTAAATGAAGTGGCGATTATTTAAATCGCCACTTCATTTGAGTATGTCTAGTAAACTAATCTACATGGCTCTGGCGACAGAGCCATGTAGTCTAGACATACCCTAATAGTTTAGTGATAGAAATGTAGCCGTGTTAGTCTGGGGTAGCTGAAGCAAAATGCAGGACAATGTAGCACTTTAAAGACTAACAAGATGGTTTATTAGATGATGAGCTTTTGTGGGCCAGACCCACTTCCTCAGATCAAATAGTGGAAGAAAATAGTCACAACCATATATACCAAAGGATACAATTAAAAAAAATGAACACATATGAAAAGGACAAATCACATTTCAGAACAAGAGGGGGATGTGGGGGGGGGGGGGAGGAAGGAAGGTAAGTGTCTGTGAATTGACGATATTAGAGGTGGGGAGAGTGGGATGTTTGTGAGTTAATGGTATTAGAGGTGATAATTGGGAAAGCTATCTTGATAATGTGTAAGATAGTTCAAGTGTTTGTTCAATCCTCTTTGGAGAGTGTCGAATTTTAACATGAATGACAGTTCAGAGGATTCCCTTTCAAGTGCAGATGTAAAAGGTCTTTGTAGCAGAATGCAGGTGATTAAGTCATTGAGAGAGTGTCCTTTCTGGTTAAAATGGCAAGAAACTGTTTTTTCACACTATTTAATACACACACTATTATATCAACTACATGATTAGTCAATAAGGGAAGGTGCTCAAAAGGAGCTACACCCCCCACCTCCATGGCTCTGCAGTTTAAATGTAGTAAGAGCCGGGCATGCAGCTAGCCCAGATCCTACTACATTTAAACTGCAGAGCTGCAGCAAGGGTCACTCCTGGACCCGGTGCAAGCAAGGACTGAGACGGACTTGCTCAGTCCTGGCTTGCACCAGATCCAGCAGCCCTGTCCATGCCAGCAACCTCTTTTGTGGTGACTGGGGCTGGCCACAAACAGAGACTGCTCTAGCAGCAGCCCCTGTCCATAGCCCCCATCCACCTGGGATTTTGAGGGGAAACAATCCATAAATACTGATAACGAAGGGCTGTAGATATGAGATGGCTCTTGGCAACAAGAGCTGTAACCACCTCAAGGTAGAATTTATTGCTGAAGTGTGCACCAAGGAGCAAAAGACTTAGGGAAGCTTCTGAACATAGGGCGGTGCACTGCCAGGTTTTGTACCCAGCATCTTCATTGCTGGGTCATGCCAGAGTGTCAGCTACCATCCCATCCCTGGGGGCCTGTAGCCAGACAGGAACCCACCTGTAACATCCATTTTTGCTTTCCTGGAGCATACAGGGGGCACAGAGCAGAAGGCCTGGATATGCAGGCTGCTGCTGTGACCGTGAATGGCTGTAAACAGAGATATGCCAATTGCTGACCAAGAGGCTGCCAAGGAGTGCCCTTGACTTAACCCATATTGATACGAACACACAGCCGTCCACGGGGGGAGGAATCTCTTGCCCAGTAAAAAAATGTCTAGTACTCACAATTAATTTACACTTGCAAGAGAGAGAACTAAACTTGAAACTTGCTTGTAAGAACTGGCGCCACAAAACGGACCAGTACAATTTGGCCTCTTAGATAAGAAAGAGGATACGGGCCCCCAGGGGTATAAAGATGGGTCCAGCAGCACATTTACTCTGAGTGTCAATCTACCATCTATCTGCTGGTCGGGTTAGGTGTTTGACCTCCCGAGGTTCCACGGGGACGCCCACCTTGTATTCGTCTTTCCTAGGAATTGAGGGACTGGCCCTGGCTTGACCCGCTGGAGTCGAGAGGCACAGAAAGGGGTAAAAATTGTACCTGGATGTGGTCCTTTGTCTTAAGTGTACACATAGACTTAGAGCTCCTTAAAGATTAAGCTGTCACTTGGTACCATTATTTCTATTTTTTTATCTTTATTTTCTTTGTAACTATTTTTTTTCAAGATCTATATTTGCTAGCAGTTAAGAAATAGAGCAATAGCCATTGTAACCATAAGATCTGTATTTGCTAGCAGTTAATTTGCTAGCAGTTAAAAAAGAGAGCAATAGCCATTGTAACCATATGCTTTATAAGTCTTTTTAATAAACCTGTAACTGTTTAAGTTTTAACCTGATTCCTTCAGTTGCTGTAACAGAACCAAGCACAATTTAAAAGAACTTCAGCTCTTCATAAGGAAGAGCTTGGACGTTTGGATTTGTGTCACTCCCAGGTGACAGATCCATTGGGGCATCTCTCAGTCTTTCCTAGACTGCCCGCTGCGAAGGAATCTTGTATTCTAGCAGCTAAAATTTGAGATGTAATAGGCTCTTCCTATAGGCCCATGGCACACACACACACACTGCCCTGACCATCGGCTGACAGGGCCCCACTGTCACCTGAACTCCACTGAAGGCTCCAGAGTCCGAACTGATGGCATCAGGATCCAGGTCACTGACCCTGCCCACTCAGAGTTCCAGTTGCTGGCCATGCTCCTGGGGGATCCACTGCCTCCGGGATTCCAGATCCAGGGCTCTGCTTATGTTCCCAGTCTGGAGCTGCACAGCTTCAATTCCTGGAAAGATACTGGAACAGATTATTAAATCAGTTTTTAAGTGCGTGGAGGGTATATGGTTATAAGGAATTTCCAACAAGGATTTATTGAGAATAAATCATGCCAGACCATTCTAATTTCCTTCTTTGACAGGTTATTGGCCTAATGGATAGGAAGAAGCTGTAGATTAAGTGCTGTGGGAAGTGCAGCTTCAGCAACAAGGACATGTCCCAGGTTTGGTTAATATAGGCTCAGCATGCTTTGCTGCTGCTCTTCTCCTCTTACACATTCCCAGTTATAAAAAGCTTCCCTCACACCCTAGAAAAGTATCTGCTCACTCTGCCAGCCCCAAAGCAATACTCACACAGCAGAAGCAGCCTGAGATGAGTCCAAGAGGGAACCAGTGCCAAAAGGGCATCAGTGTCTGACTTAGTGGCTGGGGCTGCTGCCTCAGGCTAGCTGAGGGCTGTGCTTAAAGGGACCCGATCCCCCATCTCGGACAGACAGTTCTCAGGTTTCTCTGCTTGCTGGTCTACCTCGCTGAGGGACAGCCAAGCATTTGTG